TATTTTTATCATCTGTAAGAGGCGATGTTCACCCTGGTCACCAGTGTATGACAGGACCAAGACACAAACAAACATTCCCACAGAAATTCACGTCTACAGTCTTACCCTGACCTCTGGACTGTAGGAAGCTGGAGTATATTACGATCAATATCTTATTTTGATCGACAGTTATTACCTGTAGTAGCTGGGGAGCGAAGGCAATATGGCTGATGAGAGGACAGAGCCTGTCTTCTGCATCTCTATTATTCTTATTCCCATTCTTTCTTTGATGGGCTGCACCACAGCTACCTTACCTGTTATTTTTATGATTATTATTTTTTATTTCTTCCTCCTGGGGGTCTTTTCTCTCCTCCATCCACTCCTGGAGCATCACCGTTCGAAAAAGCAGCCTCCATGGGACTCCTATTAGCATAATGAGGAGTGCACATCAGGCTCATGTAGAGACCCGTTCCCTGTGCACTGCTGTATGGAGAGAAAAACCATGAAGAAAAAAAACTCCCAGCTCAGCCCCTTCTCTCCCTCTTCCTTCCTTCACTCCTTCCTCCCTCTCATCTCTTCTTCCTCTGCCGTGCTGCCTAATAGGGAGCCCGGATAAACACGGGCTCCCTCTCTTTTTCATTGCTCTCACTTTACTCGACTTGAGACAGATTTCATGATCACAGGGGTTCATTTTTACTTTCAATGCAGCACAGTAAAACACAGAGCCCAATTAAAAGTCCTAATGCAGATGACTGAAGCATGCAGTTTGCCTCCTCGCAGGGATCCACTCAGAGTTTCCCCCCATTGCTCTGCACCTCTCCTCTGTCACTGAGCCTCACTGAAGCACTATGAATGTGTAGGGTTCGGTCACATCTTTATTCAGCTGCCTTTCGGGGAGCTGTGGCAGGAGGGAAGAGATGCACTGATAAGCCAGTGATAGTGCAGTCAGCAGATTTAACAGCAACTGCAGTATCTTTGTCCAGAGGGGAAGCGAGGGAGTATTTGTGTAGATGAAAATGGGAAAATGATCGAGAAGAGAGATGGGAGAAAATATTAGTGCGAACAGTGCAGCCCTCTCTTTGGTGCAATACGAAAGAATTTGTCTATATTTAGACACATTTACTCTTTGCAAACAAGGTTATTTTTCACATTCCCACTAAGAAAACCTGAAAAAATGTGTCGTTAAAGGATGAAAAAAGTTCCATCATGTGTAGAATTTCTGCTCTCCTTGACATGCACCAAAGCTGTGCTCGCTGATTTGCAATTCAAACGCAATCATGGCATTTTTCAAATTTAATTTTCTCTTCTTTTCTGCAAGAGACCTTCAGATTTTAGAAAAAAACTTAAGTGTTTTATCTGCAGAACTGCAAATACTTTTTATCTACCTATGCCACACACGTCTGTCCGTATGTGGAACCATTTTTCTTATCCACCTCACACTTGGCAGGTTTGTTGCCCAGGGAAATGTAGTGCTGATTTTGGTTTGATCTGGATAAATAATTCATTCAATCTTTCAAAAATTCAGTCTGTGGACCGAGTTTAACATGTCTTCAAAAACTGGCGGCCTGTGACAAATAATATCTCTCCTGTCAGATCATTTTGTTAATCTGATTACTTTAAGCAAACCATGTCACACTGACGCGAACACGTACGAGTGTCAAAGTGCCGGTCTACTGTTTATTCAATAGTAATATTGAATGTATTACGTGTCCAAATCCCACCAAATTTGACACTGTACTTCCCTGGGCCATTGAAAATACACAAGCCAGGTGTGAAGCCCGTAAGCTGAATGGTTCATGAAATATGCATTCCAAACACAGACTCTGTGGAAATTGTAAGCAGATGATAATAAAATTGTGTTATGAACAAATACTAATAATTCTTCAGGTAGAGTAAATTAGGAATCAGGAACTATTTCTTTTTTAAGTTAAAGAAAAGCCATTTGAAATGTACTTCATACTTGATCTGAGTCAATGAGGTGCTCAAAGCTAAATGGTTTTCCCCTCACCTCTAGCTTGATTACCATTCCTCTACCTTTATCTGCTGCAAACTGTGAGGCTCATTCCATTTAAGCCGGCTGACGCTGAAGCATCCCTTCAGTTGTAAATGCCGCTCCATTCTAATCTGAGGAAGAGATCATATTGAACTTCATTAGCAGAAATGGTGAGTCTCTCTTATCTTTTAACCCCTCGCTTCCTCTGTCTCTCCTCCCACAGTGACTGAAGGAGCAGATGTTATAAGGTAATTGCCTCATTGCTCAGATGGCTCAGCCCCTTTATACATGTAAATTTCCTGTTTTCTCACTGACTCTTGACTCTCACACTCCAACACTAGAATTCAGGGGATTGTGGTCTCCTCAGATAACATTAGAGGGCTGTGGGCTATTTCAGCAGACGTCTCTGCATGCATCCTGAGCAGAGGAATAAAACAGCTGCCACGTTTGAAGCACATGAAAGAAAAGTGTAAGAAGAGGTTGTTGGGATTGAAAAGGATCCTTAATGTGATTAAATATATATTTGCCCCAGGTTAAGACATTAGGGTAAAGAGTACCAAGCCTGAGGTGACTGGAGGACACTGGAGCAATAACCCCATTATTATGGAGTTTATTTAAATACCTAAATGTATAGTGTTGACACATTCACCGTTTAGAGTCACAGGTTCTTTGCCATTTAAAAAATATATTTTTCTATATCAAAGAGTCAGTCAACGATAAGAGTTATTTGAGACGTTACACATTTTTGGACATCAGTATGCCTGCAGTAGATGTTCTGCTTAATCTTTCTTTTCATCTCCAAAGATCTGAACCTCACAACTCTGAGAAAATATCTTAATTAATTTAGTTGAGCTCCAAGCAAATTTTTTCGCTGCCTTATTTCTAATTAAAGTAAAAGGCTGCTGATGTTCAATCTCTAGCAAATCCAGAGAAAAGCCCAAAACCAACAAAGCATTCCTTTACTGCTGAATTTGGCTGCAGCCTCCAGCCTGTTTGTTATCAATAAAGGTGCATATCTTTAAAAACAAGAATATACACTTTCAATTTTTAAAAAACAGCTGGGCACTGCAGTATTTTTTGGTGCAGAACTTACTTGACTGAGAGGGAATAGAAGTTTTGTTGTTGACTACTATTCAGTGCAGATTAATACACATATGTTGCACAAGCGAGAATTCATGGCACTACTATGGTATATGTGGAATTGATTTAAAATTAAGTACCATGCCCATTTCAGATCGTAAGGATGTTTACTGTAAGAAAGGAAAATGTTTTAGTCTGTCAATGGAGAATACACCATATCAGGTTTTGGCTACACAAGAACATTTTGGTTGGTTTTCTTGTATTTATGGGGTTTGTGAGAAAAAGAACTTGAATATGCAACAAAATGCAACCCACATCACAAGTTGCATCAGTTTCCCTTAGTTCTTCCTGCTTTTATTATATCCATTAAGTCAAAAAATGCTGACCATTTGTTGAACGTGGTAAAAATAACATTAACCAAAAAACAAATTGCACTTTAATTGACTTTCTTCTACACACCTACTGCCACTTTTAATGATCACATATCTGTCACTATTTTCCCGTCAGACAATGTATTTAATTTGAAAAT